TAAAAAAACCCACGCGTTTATAAGATTGTGGGGGGGGGGGGGGCATGCGCCTTCCATTACGATCTCTTAACGTTATATGTACACAGGCGTTGAAAATATTTCAGTAATGATAACAGCCCGAATTTTCGCCAAGTCGCAGTCGCGTGAGGAGGTAACCATAGCAACAGTACGCCGCTTTCCATTATGATTACTTTAGGTCGGTAAGTCGTACATTATTTACATTTAGCCAGCTGTTCTAGTAGCGCCATTAGCCTACCCCTTATTAAAATTAATCATGGTTTTATTGTAGTAAAAGTGTAGTAGCATGTTTTTTTGGCGTATTGATTATTTGTCTAACCACAGTTTTACTACAAATATGGTTAAACTATGGTTAGTGTAGCAAAGCCATGGTTAATTTGTGGTTACCATCCCTATTAACCATGTGGGTTTTTTTTGTTGTTGTTGTTTTTAGTAAAACCATGGTTAATTTTCGTAAGGGACGAACTATGTCAGGACTATGTCAAAACTAAAAAAAATTACCTTTACATTTAGTCTACAAAGAAAACGTGTATGAAAAAACAGAAAAAAAGTGTGTGTGTACATACATACACACACATATATACACATACATACATACACACACATATACACATCTATGTCATTTAAAAAAATTAATTCTGCTTAAAGTCAATAAATTCGTACAGTGGATAGACTATTTAATTTAGCCATATTTGTCCTAGATATTTATCTTTTTTTTCTATCCTCAATCTTCTAATTTATTTTAATAGGCTATTTGTGTAGGTAGCCTATATGCAACATTTTTCTTCAGTGATGAGAACAGGCTACTCGTAGAACAACGCAGTTCATTGTTATTTTTTAGTAAAACCATGGTTAATTTTCGTAAGGGACGAACTATGACAGGTTGCACCAAAAAAAAATTACCTTTACATTTAGTCTACAAAGAAAACGTGTATGAAAAAACAGAAAAAAAGTGTGTGTGTACATACATACACACACATATATACACATACATACATACACACACATATACACATCTATGTCATTTAAAAAAATTAATTCTGCTTAAAGTCAATAAATTCGTGCAGTGGATAGACTATTTAATTTAGCCATATTTGTCCTAGATATTTATCTTTTTTTTCTATCCTCAATCTTCTAATTTATTTTAATAGGCTATTTGTGTAGGTAGCCTATATGCAACATTTTTCTTCAGTGATGAGAACAGGCTACTCGTAGAACAACGCAGTTCATTGTTATTTGACAAATAGGCTAAAACTTTGACTTTGTACAGCAGCTACAGTAAGACAGTAGCGAAGCGATATAATAAAGCTAAGTGTTTCATGTTAAAACTAACTGTAAGTTACCGAACATTGCCTTACAAACGTATTACGTGCGCATCAGAACTCTCAAGATTAATGTGAATATGTTTTTTAAAAAAAATTTAAAAAAAGGGAGGCACTTGCCTGAATATGTCCATTTCTGTCCATCTATTCCAGCTGATGCGAAATTCACCAGTCCGGTGTATAACAGGACTACAAACAGCTCCATGCTCAAAGTGCACAGACTCCCTGAGTGTGATGTATGCTCTGACAGTCTCGTTCACAGGATTGTAAAGAGGTGCAGAGAGTGATATTGCTTGCAACGGTTTACACCCAGAATGCCAAAGGCGTGTTGTAACATGGTCATTTAGAGAAGCTTTGACGTATTGGCAAATACATGCTTGAAGCAGCTGTAGTTCTCAGGATTCACCAACAGGTAAGTCTGCTTTTGTTCAGTGGTTTCCCAGGTTTCTTTTTCCATGTTTATTCTTAAGGGTGCACCTTTTTAAATAATGATAATTGAATATATAGAGAATTTGCTTTTCGCTGTACTTTTAATATGTAAACCCTGTTTAAAATGATTAGGCATTAGATGACTCAAGTTAGTAGCCTAATTAAAGCGGATTTCATTTACAGTCATGGCCAAAAGTTTTGGAAGTGACAAATTTTGTGTTTTGCAAAGTTTGCTGCTTCAGTATTTGTAGATTTTTCCACATGTTTCTATGGTATACTGAAACAATGATACGTTTTAAAGGCTTTTATTGGCAAAAAAAAATGAGTCAGTATTTACAGTGTTGACCCTTGCTCTTCATAACCTCTGCAGTTCGCTCTGGCATGCTGGATATTAGCTTCTGGGCCCAATCCTGACTGATGGTAATCCATGCTTGCCTTAGTTCTCGGAGTTGATCACAACTTGTGGGCTTCTGCTTGTCCACTCGCCTTTGGAGGACTGACCACAGGTTCTCTACAGGATTGAGATTCGGGGAGTTGCCTGGCCACAGATCCAAAATTTCAATGTAATGATCTTCGAGCCACTTCATCACTCTTGCTTTGAGACATGGTGCTCCGTCATGCTGGAAAATGCACGGATCATCACCAAACTGCTCATGGATCGTTGGAAGAAGTGGCTCTTGCAGGACGTTTTGATACCATTCTTTATTCACGGCAGTGTTTTTGGGCAGAATTATGAGAGAGCCCACTCCCTTGCTTGCATCACTGTTGGCACGTCACAGGACTCATGGTAGCGTTCACCTTTTCTTCTCTGAACAGTCGATTTTCCAGATGTCCAAAACAGTCGGAAGGGAGCTTCAGAGAAAATAACTTTTTTTTTTGGCCAATGAAGCTTTTAGCAATTATTTAAAATGCATCTGATCACTCTACACAATAATCTAGAAACGATGTGAATGAACACCACAACAGCTTAAGCAGCAAACTTTGCAAAACACAAAATGTATGTCACTGCCAAAATTTTGGCCACGACTGTACATCATAAAATAATAACAACAATGGAAACAAGTGGTTCAAGGAAATAATTTTATGTAAATCACTATCACACAAGGTTTTAAATAATGATATTTAAATATATATGTATAGAATTTGCTTTTCTATACCTTTAATATATAAACCCTGTTTAAACATGTTTAAAATGATTACAATAGATGATGACTCAAGTTAGTATAGCCTAATAAAAGCTGGCTTCATTTACATCATAAAATAATAACAACAATGTGTAGTAGCAAGTGGTTCAAGGAAATAATTATTTAAATCAGTATTACACAAGGTTTGATTATTTCTTTTTATCAGACAAGCTTGTACTGTAAGTTTAGGCAGTAATCAATTTCATGAATTCATTTCAGGTGTAATTTTTTTTATATAGTGCCAACACTACTAAATGGCAAGTGAAGGTAAAGCTGCTTTGCATTTTCTAGAGAAGAGAAAACCAATAACATGTTAACTGGTAGCAAACAGTCTTCTCAAATTTGTTTTGTCAAATTGCTGGCTAAATCAAACATCTATGTGTTGTTTTACTCATGAATAAAGATGTTTAACAGACACTACTGACAGTTATGATTGCTGTCACGACATGTTTTTACAAGTTGTGCTAGTGAAGCAGAAATTTAAGGGAGAAACTGGGGGACAACAGAAGAGACAATGCAGTGACAAAAAATATAAACAGTCCATTATAAAAAAATATTATAAATCTTACAGTGGATATTTTAATTACAAAACACTGAAGCTGAAGTTAATTGTTTAAAAAAATACTAGTAAGTAAGAATGGAATATGCTGTTTATGTATTCTAAACATGAAGATGAAGTAAAAAAAAAAATAATAATTTTTTATAAAAACACACTAACACAAATTAGGACAAAAATATCCAAGTGTTTGGATGTCCCAACACTTTTAATTACTGGATGTGGAATCAACATCAAACAGGCCAGCCAATGCTTAAATGAGGTACTCGGAGTGAAGGAGTCTGGAGAGAGAAACCACAGAGGTCAAAGGTTACTTTGACTCTAGAGTTTAGTAGCTGATATGAAGTAAAGGTGCTCCAGCTAGTCAAGGCAAGAGCTGTGCATAGTACTGTGAAAACATGTCTGGAGTTTGCAAAAAGCATAATAACAGTGCAGTTGCAGTGAGGGAAAACATGTTGTGATCAAGATGTACCTTTTACCTAAATTCAGAGTGATATGAGGAGCACAAATCTAGCACTGTCCCTGCTGTGGGAATGTTTTTGTCAAGATCAAAGAGGTAAAATCCCTGATCTTACTCTGATGTTGTTACTATGGATATTATACGTTATAGATGACATCAAGTATGACAGTTCCTAAATTAAAATGACAAAATACAACATTCATCCAAATCTATAAATTTAGCAAGGGTACACAGTACAGGAAAATAAGGGTACATGGACAGATAAAGGTACACAGATAAAATGTTTAAGAACGTAGTGTGCTATCATTCAAAGACATGAAGTGAAAAACTGGTACAGTTAGAGGTTAATGTTCTTGTGCAAATGTTAATTGTCTAGGACAATGTGTTTTTTGTGGGTTGATTGGTGAAATTAGACGGAGAATTAATTTAGAAAATTACAATTTTGTTGTTATTTTGCTGCTGGTTCCAGGTGCTCTGAGAAAAACAGAGAACTCAATTCTCACGTGAGAGGAGAACTACGAATTCAGAAGGAGTAGCGTGCTCATAGGTAACCCTTTTATAAAAGGGGAGCACTGCTCAGCACTACCAGCAGAACCGCCCATGGAGCGAGGAATCCAACTCCTCAGAGAGAATTAAACGCTCGAAAGAAAGCACCATGCTCACAATAACCCTCAATGGTGAGGGGAGCGATGCTTCCAGCGTGTGTCGACAGAGACACACTTAGTTGAGTGGAACCCAAGGTACCGGGGTCTAAACCAACTCAGAGAAAGGGAACAAGGCTAATAACGCATAACCCTTACCATACAGGATTTCAGAAAAGTGGGCAAAGCATAACGTGCACACTTACCACTTATGTGGATTTTTTGAAAGTTCGCAATGCTTATACGTGTGCACTTACCATAGTATGGATTCAAGAGTTTTCCAAGCATCTGCTCACAGATACCCGGAAGTACTGAGCCAAACGGGAGAGGCAAGCTCAAATACAACCCTCTAAGGTGAGGGGAGCACTGCCTGAGACAGCATTACACAAGAAATTTCTCGCAAATGCCACCTATACTTCCCGCTTGATGCCTCAGCAAGAGGGGATATCCTGGTGATCGGGAGGCCCCTCAGGGTGACCTAGATACGGTAGACCAGACAGGGCAGCCTGAAAGCATAATCCCAGCCCGGATGTCCAGGAACTTTTTGCAGTGCCGTGCCGGGGGCCTAATGATCAAGAAGGTTCCCGCAGAAGCCTGTGACCTGGCCACATAATCCAGGAAGTATGAAGCCGAAACCCGGCTTATATCGACGAGTGAAATAAACACTGCAAGTCGAGGTCTTTTACCTACCTTCCTTTGACCCACGATTCTTCCTACCCCTACTCGTGGGCAGGGGAGTAGCGCGAGCCCCGACACTAGCCTTCTGTGCCCGTCTCTGATCCTCAAACCGAGACGGGCCAGGACCCCTGGGTTGTTCGGGCTCAGACCTGGACCTCCTTTATCCAGGTCTTTCAGCAGGTCCGCCTGATATGCTTGGAGCATCACCATCGTGTGCAATGAAGCGACAGCCCGACCTGCTGCTGCTGCGTATGCCCTGGCATTA